AGAGAGATGTTGTGTCTGTGCGTGGCGTGTGGGCATGTATGTGTGTGTGTGTGTGGCGCCGGCCAGGCGCAGTGTTGTGTGGTGTGTGCGTGTGTGTGTGTGTGTGTGTGTGCGCGCCGAGGCAGTCGTGGCGTGCGTGCGCTGGTGTTGTGCGCGTGTGTGTGTCTGTGTGCGTGTGGCGTGTGCAATCGTATGTGTGTTGTGTGCTGTGTGCGCGCGTACGCTGCCGTGGTGTGTGTGTGTGTGTGTGGTGTGTGTGTGTGTGCTTGCGGCGTGTCGTGCGTACGTCGGCGTGCGCCGATGTGCGCTCGCACGTGCCGCCATGTGTGCTGTGCGTGCGCCAGGTAAGTGTCATGGGTGTATGTGTGGTGTGTGGGCTGCTGCGTGTTGTGTGGCGTGTCGTCGTGTTGCGCTGCGTGCGCAGTGTGCGTGCGTGCGCTCGCTGATGTGTGCGTGCGCTGTGTGTTTGTGTGGTGTATGTGTGTGCTGTGTGTGTGTGTGTATTGGTGGGTGTGTGTGTCGCTGCGCGTTGTGTGCGTGCGTGCGTGGCGCAAGTGTGTGTTGGCGGTGTACTGGCTGTACTGTGTACTAGTAATGTGTTTACATGTTGGCGTAGTGTCTGGTGCTGCTTCGCAGCTAAAGCTGGTAAAAGCGATCAGACACTGGGTGGCATCCTGCAGCCGATGACACACGCCTTTGAGAGCGCACAGAAGTACGGAGCCTGGATGATGGACCCACTACCTCCCACCGTGGACGAGACTAAGATCTACGTGTTGGGTGGTCACTCTAACGCCAAGGCTTTGTGGATGTACGGCAGCTACGCAGACTTCGTCACACGCCGCTTTAAGACCGTCATCGCGCTGCCGACAGGCGTCGGCGGCACCGGTCACGTAATCTACAACGGAACCATCTACTATCCGCAGTACAACACGGCCAAGGTACGCGCGCGCCCTCTACAGTGCCGTGAGGCAGACGGAGGGAGGGGAGGAAGGGATGGAAGGAGGGTATATATATATATATATAAACAGCCCTCGCCTTCCCTCCCCCACCCCTCCCTCCCTCCCTCTTTCCTTTATATCAGGAGTAGATAATAGGTTATTATGAGTAGATAATAGATAATAGGTTATCAGGAGTGGATAATAGGTTATTATAGGTTATAGCCCTTTTATCTACTCCTGATATATATATATATGTGATAATTTAAACTATAGTTCCACGCCAGATAGAGGGCGCCCGGGAGCGTGCTGGTCGCCGTGACCTTCCGTGACCTCAGGTCGAATGCATTAACCTTGATACGGAAGAAACACCGAGATCGTGTGAGTACGCATGACGTCACAGGAGTTCTGTGATGGTAGGATGTGATGTTTAGACGTAAGCATCTGAACAAAGGGCAGTTTAGCTTCGGTGCGTTTGCGGACATCGACCTGGCGGCGGATGAGAGAGGACTGTGGGCCGTGTACACGACGACGGCCAACGACGGCTATATAGTCATCAGCAAGCTGCACCCCGTCACACTACAGGTAAACACAGGTGTCCGTTACACTGCAGGTAAACACGGGTGTCCGTCACACTGCATGTAAACACAGGTGTCCGTTACACTGCAGGTAAACACAGGTGTCCGTTACACTACAGATAAACACAGGTGTCCGCAACACTGCAGGTAAACACAGGTGTCCG